ATTTCCAGTTTTTAAACCAAGCCAATCATGGTATAAATAGGGAGGCAACCTTTGTAGAGCAGAGGGATCCTCAAATTATATGGACGTCAGAACGTCTCGGCTCTGTAAACACTTGACTTTTAGCTATCAAAGTGCAGGATCACAAATCCGCGCTCTTCGAAATTCTAAATTCACGACCTACGTAACTTATTAGGCCGACTAATGTTCAAGTATCCGAAGTGGGCAGAGTGTGAAATGTGACAGTAAATCAGTCTGTAAAGTATCAGAAAATGTATGATATTATTAAAGTTGTATTCCATTGCACTCATTATCCCAGTGCTGTTCAATAAATCACAACTCCAAGTGTAACCAGGGTATCTATTGTGGGCCTGTGTAGGAACAATGCTCTTCCTGTCCTGCCAGAAGAAAGGCCGTTACGTCCAGAGATAGACCTCATGTTCTACCCAGTCCAGTGCCAGAGGCATGTCATCTCCTTGCTGACATTTTTTTTTCTTTGGCGCTACAGACCCAATTTTGGCCTTGGCCTACCTCCATGAAACTCTCCGTTTCACTTCGGCTTATTTGATAGGACTCCTTGCGCGGGGGATCAGCTCGCCGCAAGGTCTCTATCTGTACACAAACACAGAAAAACGCGCGCGCACACACACTGAACATCCATGCCCTGAATGGGATTCGAACCTATNGGATAGAGCATATAATCGGATTTTTTTATATCTTGTATATTTTTATGACGCTGGAATGAGTGCATTATAGTATTTTTTTTTTTGCTAACGTTGGGAGGCCTCTATTAGGGCGAAATTTTGATGTTAACAATGGGCGAGCTGCATGTGAGGCATGCAGTGCAACGTGGAATTTGGGTACCAACTCAGCATTTGCTCTAGGACCGAGGAAAACCACGGAAAACCTTGGTCGAGTTAGCCGGTCGCAGGAACTTCCGGATGCAAACTGACTTCTAGCCAGCAGTCCGGCTTAAATACGCGAACCCTAACATTAGACCCTATCTGGCTGTTTCTTTATTTTAATAGTTTACATATGTGTTTCTACATTTTTCTTTTCTTTTGCATACTTTGGATGAGCAGGAAACATTTGTGTATCACATTTATAAAGGGTTGTAACTGTTTAAGTATTGATAAATTTAGATCTATATTGTGGAGGGGCAAAGGTTCGTTGCTCATCCAGTGACCGGATTTTATGATTACAATTTTTTATTTTTTAATCACATCTTCCTTTCTTCTCCAAGGCGTGTTACTCGTACAGCGATACCTTTGTCTTTTTTTTTTATCCATGTAGGCGTTGTGGGGAGAGCTGCGGTGGGGCATTCAGGGAATTATAACACTAGTAATTCGTGAAGTCTTTGTGTCTTTCTTGTCCCCAAGCTTCTACTATCTGCGTGCCATGTGCTCCATCCACTTTCAGCATTTAGAAATGAGTATAAGGAAACATCGTCCTTTAATTGTTTCTTACATCCTGTTGTGTATTTAATCAATATTAGAGTTAATTTTACCGACCACACAACATACCTTTACTACTATCACACTATTCGATCGAATAAGTGAGAAGACGAATGTGATTGCGTGTAATTATACAGCTGTGTTCGTACACCTGAGGATGACCTCTTGAGGTCGAAACATATAGTGTGATAGTAGTAAAGGTATGTTGTGTGGTCGGTAAAATTAACTCTAAACATGGTCCTGCTTACTGTTAGTAGCTGCGCTTCTGACATTTCTGTCGACTGATATCGGTTTGGAATATGGCATATCGAGACACAATTTTCCAACACCAACTCCTCATATATTGAATTTGCTTCTGTGATTAGCAAGTTACGAGCCGATCACAGACGCCACGCAGTCTAAGGTAGGCCGCACACCGCCATGCGTCAAGACATATAACAGTCAAGGCACGATGTCTGCGACATGACGCAAAAAAAAGGAGCACAGTTGAAACGAATAAGATTATGAAAACCGCCGCACACCGGTCTGAGTCATGATGCTGACGAATCACGAATGAAGCAAGACTGCGTCTTTTGTCTCATGTCTTGATACTTGTTTTGGCGCAGTTGGTGTGCGGCCGCCCTAAGGCATTCACCGTCATCTCCCTCTCGAACAGTGGGATCGTGAGTTCGAATCCCACTTGAGGCATGGATCTCTGCGTGTAGGTAGCGGCCTTGTGATGGGCTGATCCCCCGTGCAAGGAGTCCCTGTCTACTGCATATAGAATTAATAAACTGAAAAAGCGGCCGAAGACAAAAGGGGGGGCTATAGAGCCAGAGAGAGAGAGAGAGAAAAAAAAAAGATTACTAAGTTGCGATACCTATGAAAAAGGCGTCCGTCTCATTGCACTGGAGAGCGTAGTTCAACTCATAGGTTTCGCAGTAAGAAAGTTACAGCAGAATAGTTACCATTCTAAAGCCACGCTCAAGTATACAACCAGACGTAACAAATTACCAAATAAATTCACATTTTTCAAGGGCACAAGCTCCAATACAGTGACGCACTGACTTTCACATTTCCCATGAAGTTTCGGTGATCAAACTGGCCGTGCATTCAAGGCGCCTACCGTTCCAAATATGAGATCTCTGGTTCATATCCTGCTCTGGGCACTTAACTTTGTCTGGGTACTCAAGCTCACGACGGATCGCAATCCGACGCGTCGTGCCCAGTATTCTAGAAATTAGATGTAATTCGGAATGGAAACAGCCCAGATGGTCTACTCCATTGGTTTCCAGACTCTACATATCACCTCACCGTCCGTCTTAACTCTGTGTATCAACAGCTCTTCAGTTCTTGAATTTGTAGCGTGTACAGCCGTTGCTATGCAATGGGCAAATAAACAACGGTTTTATATATCCCGTTTCTAGGCAACGGATCGTAAATACGTTCCCGCTGCAAAAAATACCTACACAACAATAGAGTTACTACTGGAAACGGTGTTTTCTATATGGTCCGCGCCGAGGAGTTATCTTCAAGACAACCGAGTTGCCAGTTGTAACCCGTGTGGAGGCGGGGTCGAATACCTCCACCGTGGCCCTGCGAGTCACGGGAGGCGGCGAAAAGGGCAATCTCAAATCTGAGACAGTAGAATATGGTCGCGAGTACCATGGGACTCGGACCCGAGAAAGACTGCGCTGGCAAGGACCAGCCTCTCTCGTCAGAGAGGGCGCACCACAGAAACAAGACCGTAACTGTCAAAGAATAATAAATATCTGGTCATGAGCCCCAGATGGGGCTCGACACCAAGACTTACTGACTTACTGACCGTCAGTCGCATTGTGACTTTGAATTTGACCCAGTTAGTTGTCAGTTGAAAGTCAACATGTGAAGAGGACACTAGGAGGTTGGTGGGAAATGACTGCCAGCCTGGGACCGAGTCATCTGAGAGCTGAGTTCTGCACGGGAGGCTGTGAAGACAGAACCTGAGTGCGTGAAGCTTAAAAATCTCCACTATTAGAAGCCGCTGCCAAGGAACAGCTGGTGAAGACAAAGCAGGCTGGAAAAGGCTTAGTGGGTGCTGTGGTGATTTGAGAATTGTGGAGGTCAGCGGTGGCATTGAATTCCTTATACTTACAAGTTGTATGGATGAGTGGCCAATAAATCCAAACCAATTCAAACCCCGTCTATAGCCACACTTCCAATACGTGACAACATTTTAGATTTTCATCAGTTAATAATGTTATACGCATTTTAAAATGCTCGAATTAAAAGAAAACATTTCTGACATTGGAACTGGAATAGCGCAGTCTGTACAGCGACTGCCTACGGGCTGGACGACCGAGGGGTCGGAGTTCGAGTCTCGGTAGGGTCAAGAATTTTCTTTTCTCCATGCCGTCCAGTACGGCCCTGGGGCCTACTCAGCCTCCTACCCAATGGATACCTGTGGCTCTTTCTCCGGGGGTAAAGCGGCAGGGGTANTCAAGAATTTTCTCTTCTCCATGTCGTCCAGACCGGCTCTGAGGCCGACCCAGCCTCCTACCCAATGGATACATGTGGCTCTTCCCCCGGGGGTAAAGCGGCAGGGGTATGAAGCTGACCACTCACCTCCAACTAGTGCCCAGATCAAGAAAATGTGGATCTACACATCCACTCCTCCATACGCCTTCATGGTCTAGTGCTTAATTAGTTAAGTACATGGGATAACTTTACTATACTTTTTTGCCATATTTCTGACCTTTTTGGAAATTTTACTGAAATCGGTTTGATTATAGATTTTTCCTTCATAATATCTCGCGACCCTTTAACCATCAAGTCACGTCCCTCCCCCAGGGGGGAGCCCTCAATTTGGAAACGATTTGCCTAATCAATGGTAGCTGAAGAAGAAACACATAACTAAATGCATTCACTTTCTCTGGTACTGTCACAGAGAAAACACGAACATGACTTCATTAATAACACGCGCGTTATATACAGATAATGTGTATAGTTGTATGGTAGTTTTCTGTATACCGGATCTTGTGAATGCGGTAATGAACCTTCCTGTGAACTGAAAATGAAATTTGTTGACCAGTTGAGTGACTTAAATTGTCAAGGACTCTGCTCTGTGGAGTTAGTTACGGTTTCTTATATTAAGTAACGTAAAGTTGTCCCTGTGCTTAACTAATTAAGCATTATGCCATGAAGACTTATGGGAGAGTGGATGTATAGATCCGCATTTTCTTGACCACGGCACTAGTTGGTGAGTGGTCAGCTTCACGGCCTGGCCGTTTTACCCCCGGTACCCACTGTATAGGAGGATGGGTGAACCCCAGAGCCGGTCTGGAGGATTGGAGAAGTGAAAATTCTTGACCTCCGATCCCTCGGTTGTCCAATCCATAGCCATTCTCTATACCGGCTGAGCTATCACCCAGGGTAAATCGAATCTAACGACCATTCACCTGATCTCAGGTAGCGACATCTGCTTACAGAACAAAGCGAGCGAATGCGGGGGGGGGGAATACAGCTAATGCACAGCAACTTTTCCACATACACGAGAAAATCAACGGTAAACGTAAGAACAAAAATACTTACCACCCCAGTCCTTGGGCCAAATGTCTGTCATAGACATGCCTCTTCTCTCCTCCGCGCCACCACTCGCCTCTCCTGTCGTACTCTTACTCTCCCGGAGCCTCCAGTTCTCCCTACCCGGAGTGGGACTAACATCCAGAACTCGGTTATCGTCTCGACTCCTGTTTCTCGAATTCTGAGCTGAACGTTCTTGCGAATCATTTTCCTCGACCAGCTCCTCGTCTCGTAACATGAAGACCAGATCATCACTACTAACACCAACACCAACACCAACACCAACACAGTCTCCTTCACTTCCTCTTCTTGACGCTCTCGGACCCCCACCACCATCTTCATCAACACCACCCTCCCGTTCTGGCATGTCATCCAGCCGGTCACTGCTGGCGCGGTAAGGGCCTACAAGGCCTACCACCCCTCTAGCAGGTCCCTGTCTTGAGAGCAGACCTGCTGGATCCGTTACCGCCTTCCCTCCTACATCATTCCAATATCTGCAGCCGGAAGTTTCATTTTCGGTTTTATGTCGGCCTGATGTTTTGCAGACAGATGCGTACATGGGCTGTTCAGAGGAGCAGCTGTAACTGTGTATATTGGGTTTTGTTGCCGTCTGAATCCACCGAGCGCGTTGGGCTGAGCGTCCGCCTGCACTGCTCGCTGATTTGTGACTGTTGTTGCTTGCAACAGCAGCGGTAATGTTCGTGAGTTCTGCTACCATGATCACGGATACACTTTTCTCTCTTAAAAAGGGGGTTCATGGATAACCGTACTTTGTTTCAACCATTACTAGCGTGGGAGGGAGGAGTCGTGTTAATGAGAAATTAACGCAGTTTACCCCCACCTCTACACTTCGCACAATTGTTTCTATAGTGGCCACACTTGAAGTCTCACTTCGTCACAGGAAATACATAACTGCACGCACCTGGTTTTCCGGTCTGATCACCTTCTTATACAGTTCCACGAGTGCAGACAATTAATTTAAATTCTAAATTGCATTGTTTCGTAACACGACTACCCTGAGGAATGCAGACATGCGCAGAAGGATGACACAGAATGTAAAGTGTTCCCTAGATACTTAATATTTATCAATACATAATTAACCGTTATATAATTACGTGAAACAAGCTGGACAATGCTTAGGCTTCACAGCTTGCAAGAAATGAATATCTCCGCGACTTCGTTTTTAATTACGAGGCTAACCGCATGTTCAGAGACTGCCTACCATCTGCTGTCCGTTCGTCTTGCTGCACCTCACCGAACTTCTAACTTCGAGTTGTTTGCACTGCGGAGTGAATCGGTGACAAGCAAGAAGATCAGCTGGCACTAAGGCGCGCTTTTGTTTCGTATAAAGGAACTCAAAGCAGGAGCCAGGAACCTCGGCTCCATTGTTGTCACAAACAGTGTGCTCTCGTGACTAGTACGTTTATTCTTTAGGCAAAATTCTGACCTGACGTCTATTTTAAAACAATGAAATGAATTTATATTGGTACTACAAAATGGAGAAAACGCCATGAAATAATGCGTAAAAACTTTAGGAAACTAACCTAGTCTGTAAAGTAAAGTAAAGGTATCCCTGTAACAGGCCGTGGAGGCCCATAGGGTTGTGAGACGTTGAGGTTCCCACATTATCTAGACAATCGGCTCATAGATAGCAGTAAGGTTGTCAGCCCTACGCGCCGGCCGCGCTTTACCCCTAAGAATATTCCTGGTACTCATTTCTGTTAGAGGCTGAGTCGACCCAAGGGCCATAGTGCGGCTGGAAGGATTAGGTAAATTTAAAAAATCCAATGATCTCATCGGGATTCGATCCCGCGACCTTCCGGCTTGTAGCATAGTGCCTGAACCTAGTCTCTAAGGAGTGAAAAATTAAGGCCGGCGAGTGAATAAAGCTTAGAATTTATTTCTTATTATTCTCCCCCACTCCTATCTTTGATTCACCCAGACATGGAACACAAAAAATAGCCTGTCCAGGCCTCAGCCGGTAAGGTTTCTGCCTTCTATTCTGGAGAAGCCCTGTTCGAACACCGGCCATCCTGATTTGATGTTTCCCGTGGTGTTCATCAGTCCCTTCATGCGAATTCTTGGATGGTACCTTGAAACATGTCACGAGTTTTTCCTTCCACGTCCTTCCCAATCCATAGTTCATTAAACCGACCGGTCCATGCTATGTGAGCTGGGGTCCTGACAGCGTCGTTAAGTACGTTACAAAGCAATAAATATAAGGTGCACTGTGTTTTGCCTTGCAAGTCTGTATGATGACACAAAATGGTGCAACTGCGGGGCACGAGAGGTAGGGTGGACATGGTTTTCATTTGGGAAATATTTGGCAAGTAAAATTCTCGTGTGACTAGTGCTGAAACCAGCTGACCATGGCCGACACACTCTCACACATATATACATACATATGCACGGTAATCAGTCCTTACAACAAGCCTCTGTGAGAAAAATGAAAGAGAACTTGCAAGAAATAACAACACAGATGTAGACGTTTTGAAACACGATATTTCGTTCATCTTCAGTAAGCTTGCATTTCCCATTCGTGATAGAAGATGGCACGTGGTAGCGTAGTTGATTAAGGCACTATGCTACAAGCCGAAAGGTCGCGGGATCTGATACCTCCATCTTCAGGGTAGGATCTGAGTGACAACTTTTCCTGAAAGCTGCATACCGAATCGAGATTATGTCACCCCACACATTTCAACCCTGTGGATTGAACCATCACATTTCTCTAACACTTCGATATCCGCCTACAAGACTACACGGCGTCACAAAGACCATAATTTGAACATCAATACATGACTACGTACGTAAGACAGCAATCAGCCCGAAGAGAATATAAAACTGCATTGTCAGAATTTGAGATAGTTACTGAAGGTTTCATGGGAGTAAACCGCTGCGATAAGTTGCCCACTTCTCACCCTGGCGGCCCGGGTTCAGTCCTGCTATAAAGAGTCGCTACGACATGAGGAATACTCGGACTGGCGGTCAAAGGAAACGGCAAAACAGGAGCTTGTAAGGTATATAAAGTTTTGCCGTGAAATATGGTGAAGTGAAAGCTGTAAAGCGCCATGGCCGAACGGAAAGCCACATTAGCAAGTCGAGGCCAAGTTTATGAACTCAACTGATGACAGTTATTTTGTGAAAACCGGAAAAAGAGAGGGGCAACAAGTCGCTTGCGCGGAATTAGTACTGACTTAATCACGGTACAAAACACCGCCACAGCTGTCGTGCCCTGTGTTTGCAGTTTCGAAGTCAGCCAGAAGCCAGCGTGGGCACACGAAAGTGTAAGCGGTGGCTGAAAATTTGTTGACACCTGAGTCACTACAGTTAGTTCCGAACAATGTGGCAAGTTTCTCAGTTTCCGTTGCCTGCGATGCGTCAAATAAAGGCAATTTAAAATTGTATCCAGTGATCATTTGATACTCTGACATGCAGAGACGTACAATTTCAACAATTATATGGGTATGTAAGATTTGAGGTTTTCACGGTGGTGACTGTGAAGAAAGGAGTCCTCTGGGATTTGCGCCGTGTAAAAGTTGTTAACCGACGTTTCGGAGTAACGTATCGCCTCCATCTTCAGGGTAGAAGACAAGAGAAAATCCACGAGCGAACCAGCTTGAGCAGGTGCACCTGATCTGTTGCACCTGCTCAAGTTGGTTCGCTCGCGGATTTTCTCTTGTCTTCTACCCTTAAGATGGAGGCGATACGTTACTCCGAAACTTCGGTTAAGAACTTCTACACAGCGCCACATCCAAGAAGACTGCTTTCTTCAACTATATGGGTAGTCTTAAAGGACTCCCACTTTAACATTCCATAGAGGAGAGCGAGACAGAATATTGACGAATACATCACCGATATTTCCTCTCCTGAACTCTGACCTGCCATACGGCTCAGTCGGTATACCGACGGCCTACAATCTGGACAAATGTTCAATTCCCGGCAGGGGAAAGCGATTTTTCTCCTCTCTACAGCGTCCAGACTAGCTCTGTGGCCCTCCCAGCCTCCTATCCAATGGACATCGGGGCTTTTTCCCCGGAGGTAAAAGGATCTTGGCCGTGAAGCTGACCATTTACCTCCATCTGTTGCTAGGTCAAGAATGGTGGCGCTATACGTCCACTCCCCCAAACGTCTAATGGCTTTCATACATATAGATATACACGTACATACATGTATGCATAAGCCAAAGTTGTTTCTGTGCTTAAGTATTAAAAATCACGCCATGAATACGTATGGGGGGAGGAGGTATAGCTCCATCTTTCCTCAAATACACAAATATATGATACACCCACTCGCACAGTAAAAAGATGAATTAGTAAGTTCTGAAAGAACTACATCTTCTACAAATAACATAATTTACAAACCGACGCATAAGAAATGTTAAAGAACACACTGATAATGAGCTCGAAAAGGATCACGAAACAGATTTTAAAATATCAACCGAAAAGGAAAAGAGCTTTAGGAAGAACCTTGAAGCGATGGAAGGATACTGTTTTGCAATATGTGTAACAGGTTTCAGTAGGCCTTTTCTAATTGGGCTATTATACGACGCTGTCAGTAGCTAGACTGTATAGCGTGGAATGGTAGGAAATGTGGTAAATAATGAATTGGACAGGATTAGGAAGGAAGCGACTGTGACCTAATCTGGCTGTAGGGGCTAAAGAAAACCACGAGAAATCTCAATCATGAGAGCTGGTGTTTCGGACGAGATTCAATCTCAACTGATATTACAATATTCAGGTATGTTCTTACTTTTGTTAACCAGTTCAGAGCTCAGCGCTTCATGGAGACCGGTACACCGCCGGCTGCGAGAGCATACGAATTCTCCTCATGAAGCAGCATACCCAATGGCCAATGACGTTTCTAATTAAGGGAAGTTATTAACTTTATGCGGGCACGCGGTAGAGTAGTGGTTAAGGCACTATGCTACAAGTCGGAAGGTCTCTTCTAGGGTTGTTTGAAGGACAAAGTTTACAAGAGTAATCCCCGAATGGAAGAACTACGAGAAAATATTCGTAGGGAAATTGCAAATATTCCTGCAACAGCTTCAAAGGGCAAATCACAACTCTTTCCGCCTGTGCGGGGAATATCAAAGTGTAGAGGGACAGCATATTCAACGCCTGCTGTGATCTGTGATTTGTAACTATTCATTCGGAACGTTATCGGCAAAATTCAGCGGCAAAATTCGCATGCGCCGGTGGCCGTGAACAGGTCCACAATGGTAAGAACCACTCTGTATTAA